GCTAGACCTACATTCAGTTTGGGTTCTAGCAGGATTATTAGTTCATAGCTGTTACTATGTACTTCCCTTAGGAAGTACATAGAGTCTATTTCCTCTTTTTGATATTTGTGACCATTGGTGATCATTTCCTAAACCCAGTTATTCTTTGTTACAATATATTTGCTGAACTACTTCTACAAATACAAACTGCCCACCAACTATTTGGTTAACCAATGATAGGGTCATGTAGGAAAGGCAGACAAATGCTTGCAGCCATGGGGAAAGAGATAGATCCCTCTACCTTTCCTTAGTTATTATGTGGGCTCTTTGGCTGGATGAGGAACCAGATTAACACAAAGCTGTTTAACAAGAGAAAAACATGCAAGTCTTAATAATTTTACACGTACATGGGCATTTCCACGTGGAAAAATCAGTAGGCAAAGTCAGACTGCGGCTCTTGCTGAAGTTCCAGTTCCTCAGGTGATTACGGCTTGAAATAATCAGTGTCAGTTTCGCATATTGTGGGATGGAACATCCTAACCTCCTTCAATATTCTGCTTTTATTTACTAGCTGATTAGCTAATACCTTTTAATGGTGGTCAATTAATTTATTCTTTTATTATTATTACAGACTTATGAACTTACATTTTGTTGATGTGTTTCAATCCATTGCTGTTGTTATCTTTCATGCCTACCCCATCTTTCACCAGTGGGATGCCTCTTCAAGTTGGCTCCTGGGTCCCCTTGGCCTAACCTAGTCACCTTGGATTGCATCCTTGCTGTCTGGTGTGACAAGAAGTTGTAGGCCCACCTTGTGCATTTGCTGCCCCAGATCTGGAATCAGCCATTTCTTCAAGAAGCCCTGGTTTCTTTCAGTGGGAAGTGCTTAGTGGCTTGTTTTTAAATATGTGGGAATAGCCAAAAATCATCAGCTATTTGAGCCTTTAAGTGAAAGAGAAGATCGGCATAAACAAGCAAGTGAAGGAATGATGGAGGCTGTAAGAAACAGAGACAATGCAAGAGATATAAGGAAACATTTAAAATTTTTATTATATAACATTAAATAATATCTCCTGAGGAAAAAAAATTAGAAAATAATGCACAACAAAGGTTGACTGAGTTCTTAAAAAAGACTCATACATACTAGTGTGAAATCCAGGTCACTGTTCTTAAAAGGAGGAGCCTAAAACCTTCCTGATTCTAAAGGGGAAAATATGCCACTACAAAAGACAGGGAGCATGAATTGCATCTGACTCCTCAAGAGCAATGCTACACTCTACAAGAGAATAGAAGAAGAATGCCCATAAAATTCTGAGCGAAAATTATTTTCAACCTATAATTCTGTATCAAAACAGTCAATCAAGTACAAAGACAGAACAAATCAGTCAAGCAAGAATTTAAAAAAAAATTAATCCACCTTGCTTCTTTTCTTAGGAAGATGCTGATACCAAAATAAGGAAGTAAATCAAGTAATGAGGGAAGCATGGGATTTAGAAAGAAGAGAAAAGGTAAAGCAGTTAGTAGCTGACAGAAGGCCTCAAGAGCAACTGGTGCAAGAAGGCGGAGATTGGGGGATAAGGACACAGATGAGAACTAATAGATGATCTGAATCGTTTGTGCATGCGGTTAGAAAATGATATTGAAGGGATGTGTAGGACCGTCAGGACATAAGAGAAACATCAGCCGTTGGCACATGCAAAGCATGCAAATAAGAAAATCAAGACAATTATTTAGTCCAAGAAAACAAAAAGTTGTTCAAGAGGGGATACTACCAGGTTATGTGCATTTTATTAATTCTTGGGTGCCCATTTTCACATTTTAATGAGTCTGGAATTGGATGAGCCTTGCAGTTGAAAGCATTGTTCAGACACTATTGACTAGACTTTGGTCTGGATGTAGTTTTCATGGTCTGGAAGATATGACTTTGGTCATTATTCCTGTTGACATGTCAGTCAGTTTGTGGCATCATATGAGGAAAGAGTAAGAGTCCTGGTTTGTCAGAAAACCTTCTGTGGGTTTTCAAGAAAGTGCCAATGTCCAAACTTGCAGAATGGGATCAGTGGTTTGGAAGGGGATCAGTGGTTTAGAGACCAGAGTGGACCACTCTTGAAGAATTTCTGCCTTGGTGACCCTTGAGTAGTTGACAGAACGATAGTGTGAACACAAAAACATGAAGGCAACAAAAACCCACAGCTCTGAATAGAAAAGCGATTCAGAAGAGATAAACAATGAATGTGAAGGTCAGCGTTACTTAATTTTGCTAACATTTTTTATGTATAAGACCCATATGTGACAAAAATATATTCAAATAAGGGTACTTCCAATGCACATTAAAAAATTTAGATAACAAGAGCGTTTGACTGGCAGCACCTTTTTTTTCTTAGTAGTTCCCATTACAAATCGATGGTGGCTTACATCCAGTGAGATCTGGGATGCTAGCTGGTAGCTGTGAACACTTATTGCATATTTAAAATAAAATATAAATTGATTTTTGTTAAAATATGAACTGATTACAATGGGAGGATGGGAAGAAGGGTGAGTAGATATGCTTTGGGGTAGGTGAACAGAGGTAAGCACCTGGGAACAAGCTTTACCTCTCTGAGACAGAAGGTGAAATCTAAGATTAGTACATACTTGAGACACTGGTTTAAAAGGAACCACAGAGGAACAGCTGAAAGAGTTGAACATGGTTGTCCTGGGGAAAAGAGATGAGAGTAAGGGAGGAGTGGGTTGCTAGGATTTTTATTAATAATATTTCATATATTTTTAAGCTGTGCCTTATTACCTTGATTAAAATAATTTTCAAATAAAATGACTCCTAAAAGCCCATTCTGTGTTGTTATCATTATAAATACACATGCTGTTTTCGGGCCATGTGGTATAGCTCGTGGCTCAGGGAATCTGTTCACTGTGACAGGCTGTAGTCTGTAGCAGAGAGAGCTCCTCAGCTCCAGGTTTGTCAGTGCTCTGGGTTTCCTTCCTAGGTTTGTTCTTTACTAGCTGAGTGACCATGGGCAAATTGTTCAACCTCTCTGGGCTTTAGTGTCCTCACCTTTAAACTGAGCAGAAGGATATGTGTTTCAATGGCTGTTGTAAGGAGCAAAGAGAACCTGTGTGGCATCCCTGGCAGTGTGCCTGTTCCATTGTTGGGCTCAGATGAGCTCAGATGACTTTTTTCACTTTCATTGTGCACACCTGTCCCCACCTCCCCACAATGGAACTCCCACCTGCTATAGGAACAGGCTGCTGCTGTTCATTGTGCCCTGTGCTCAGGGATCCCAAGTCCCCTTAGAGTCCTGCAGTAGCTGCCCACTGTCTGGAATTTTTTTTGTGGGGGGAGCAGGGCAGGGTTAGGGGGGAAGACTGGATGGAACAAAACACAGTGTATGTAGGTCATTGCTCTTTGCTGCCCTTAGAGGCCCCAAGGATTCTTACATAGATCCTTTTCACTCTTAGGAGACAGTCAGAGCTGATGGGTCCTGAATATGGCAGTGCTCAGTTGTTTCTGTCCTGATAAACCCTGAGGCTCTGGCCAGAGACCATGGTCATCTGCCTTTCTCTAAGGTCCAGGAGAAGCAGGGCCTGAGCTCCTGGCTGGCAGGAGGGATGATCCCAGTCTGCTCAGAGGAGGCTGGACCAAAGCCTTCACAAAGCTCCTGAATCCAGGAGGGAGTCTGCGGCGATCAGACTCCCTCTGGCCTGTGCAGGCAGCTTTGCAGAAATTCAAAGCGGGTGGGCTTTTGTCCATGTGGATGGGAGAGCTGCTTGCTAGGACTCCCAGAAGGTAGGCAGTTCCTATTTATGCAAGTGACCCAGACATACAGGAAGAGTCACAGCAGGGCTGTCTACATTGCCTGGCTAAGAGGGGTCACTCCTCTTTTAGAGCTGCTTGGGAGGTGGGGAGAAAGTAAATGAAGAGGGGGGGAGGGGCTGGGCACAGGAAAGCTGCTTCCCAAACACCTTACACCATGACAGAGTGTGAGTGATGCCACAAGGGAATCCAGAAGGGAAGCAGATCTGGTGTGGGGCAGTGGGGGAAGTCCTGGAGATAGGTAGATGAAAAGGAAAACCACACACAGTCCTTGGTGTCAGAGGAGTGTGGGCAGCTCCTGCTCCTGCTCTCCTGTGGCCCAGTGTGACAGTCTTCTCAGTTTCCTCAGAGGTTAAAGGGGAAAAACAGCACTTTGCAGGGTTGTGGTGGGAAAATATCCCACCCCACCCCTTTCTTTTGGCAGTACTAGAGTTTGAACTCAGGGCCTTGCACTTTGCCAGGCACTTGAACCACACACCCCCAGCACTTCTTGCTTTTTTTTAGTTATTTTTCAGATAAGATCTCATGCTTTTTGCCTGGGCTGGCAATGGACTAAGATCTTCCGATCCACACCTCTCGTGTAACTGAGTTTACAGTGTACACCACCATGCCTGGCTTACTTGTAGAGAGGGAGTTTTGCTAACATTTTGCCAGAGCTGGCCTCAAATTGAGATCCTTCTGATCTCTACCTCCTTAGTAGTTAGGATTGCAGGCATATGTCACCTGCACCTGGCCTAACCTCCCAGTTTTAGAAAGGTTTGAAAACATTTAGAGAGACTCTTGCCCCAGCCTTTCACTCATTTGGGGGGACATTTGGCACCTAATGTCGGAAATTTCGTGGCCCTTACTCAGGGCCTGGGGTGGTACTGAAGGATCTTCTTGGCCACTTGGAGCTCCTTGGCTGATTTGGGCAGGTCCTAGGGCAGCTGTGTGGGGATGATGGAGACCTCAGGAGTGGGTACTCCAGGCCTCCTGGTCCCACGCAGACAAGAGAGTGTTGGACTGAGGGAGCATCTGTTCATTAAAAGCCTCTGGTGGAGGGGGTCTAGGAGCCCTCTCAGGTCCCTTGGATGTAGTGACAGGAAGCCTTCCCCTGCAGGGTGCTCCTGCCCCTTTCCCAGCTTCCTGTCCACTCTAGATACCCACCACTTCCTGATCTGGAGGAGAGTGGCAGGGGGTGAGCTGTGTGACATCTGTGCCCCTCCCACAGGCCACAGAGTGGGCCTCCAATGAGGACACACGCCGCTCCTGCCAGAGCAAAGGGAAGACTGAGGTACGTTGCTTGGGTGGTCCCAGGGGCCCTGTTGGGACTGGCAGGAAGCTTGTAGTTGCAGGATGGAAGGACATACTGTGGGTATGAGGTCACCTGCCCCAGAGGCCTGGCTCGGATGAACTGGGTTCCACGTGCAGGTGAGGGGACGCCCACAGACATAAGCTAGATGTCAGAGCAGTGTGGATCTGGAGAAGGGTGTTGTGGAACATTCACTGGCATTCATGATGTGGTGGTGTGTGACGGGAAGACATTCAGTGCCACACCGCCAGAGCTGTGGCCTCTGTTACTTTTCTTACTGCTTCAGGAGGAGTGTCAGAATTATGTGCGGGTCCTGATCGTCACTGGCCGGAAGTTGTTCGTATGTGGCACCAATGCCTTTTCCCCAGTGTGCTCCAGCAGACAGGTGGGTGACCTGGAGGGGCAGGTAGGTGGGAGGGGACATGACGACGGGGAGGTCTCTTGCCCAGGCATATAGCCTTGGAGTGTAGCAGAGAAAACCAACACAGAAAAAGGCTGCCCAGTCAGATGTGAATTTCAGGTGAGCAACAAATTGTATCTTAGCACAACTATGTCCATGAAATATTTGGGACAAACATACTAAAACACTTTTCTTCATCTGAAATTTGAGTTCCTGAGCCTTCTTTATTAGCCAGCCTTATCTTGGAGGGCTGCCTGGTGAAGCTCCTGGAAGGACCTCACCTTCCATCATGGCTGCTCCCTCAAAGTGCGGGCAATGGTGAGGCAGCAGAGGCTGGGGAAGGCCCAGAGAGACCAGGAGGAAACAGAATTCTGGGGTGAAAAGAACAGACAGCCCCAAGGCCTTAGGGAAAAGTGTCCCTTCCCATTGTTCCCAGGTGGGGAACCTAAGCCGAACAATTGAGAAGATCAACGGTGTGGCCCGCTGCCCCTATGACCCACGTCACAACTCCACAGCTGTCATCTCCTCCCAGGGGGAGCTCTATGCAGCCACGGTCATTGACTTCTCAGGTCGGGACCCTGCTATCTATCGCAGCCTGGGCAGGGGACCACCACTCCGCACTGCCCAGTATAACTCCAAATGGCTCAATGGTAAGGAGGCCCAACCAGGGGTGGGGTTCCTCTGATTCTGACTTCCCTTAGTGCTCCTTCCTGCCTCACCTCACACCGCTTCATCAAGGAAGAGGCCTCGGCAGGGCAAGGGAGAGGCCAAGGCAGGGCAGATGTCTACTCAAAGACCATGTTGGAGATTTCATCTATGATGAAATCACAGATGTCCTGAGGACCCAGAACAGATAGAGGACAGGCTATTAGGGGATAAAGAATTAGGGATGAGTTAGAAAAAGTGGTTATGGGAAAGAAAAGTTTGGGGTGGTGGTGATATGAATTCCCTTGTGCCCTTTTGGGGTTGAATTCCTGCTTCTTCACTAACTAGCTGTGTGGCTTTGAGCTCTGTGCTGCAATATAATGGTAATCCTAGGATTTACCTCATATATTGTAGTGAAGATTAAATGTGTTAATCCACATAAAGTACTTATGATAGTGTCTGGTACTCAGTGAGTGTTTAGTAACACATATTAACAGTTATTATAGCTGCACTTTGTAATTGGAGGTGGCAACAGGGTTAGTTAGAGCCCCTGGGTCACCAAGCTGGCAGGTCAGGATGCCACCTAAGAATGCTGAGTTAGTCCAGTCCTCCTGACTCTGCCCTCTTTTCCTTGCTGGCCTGAACTTGTTCTTCTTCTACCCCTGCCCCTTCCTCCATCCCCAGAGCCAAACTTTGTGGCAGCCTATGACATTGGGCTGTTTGCATACTTCTTCCTGCGAGAGAATGCAGTGGAGCATGACTGTGGGCGCACAGTGTACTCTCGGGTGGCCCGTGTGTGCAAGAACGATGTGGGAGGCCGCTTCCTGCTGGAGGACACGTGGACCACGTTTATGAAAGCCCGGCTTAATTGCTCCCGCCCGGGTGAAGTCCCCTTCTACTACAATGAGCTGCAGAGTGCCTTCCACCTGCCTGAGCAGGACCTCATCTACGGGGTCTTCACCACCAACGTGTGAGTCCCTGCCCTCTGCCACCCCTTCCCTGCGATTCCAGAGCTTCCTTGGGCTGACCTTGCCACCTGCTGGGCTTGGACAGGTCACTCCCAGAGCCTCTGGCACTGAGTTGTGGGAGGATTTGGTCTGGAGTGGCAAGCACGTGGGGGTGGCTGGGCAGGGCAGACCTGGGCCAGATGTGCAGAAGGAAGAGGAGTTGGATTATGGCTTCACCAAGGTGGGGCATGATGACAGTGAAGAAGCCTGCCATGGATAAAGGGGTGGCAGTATCCCCTTTGGGAGGTTCCACAGGGATTCTCTGTGGTCCTGTTCAACCTCAGGATTCCTTGACTGTTGAACACAGCCAGCAGAGTGTCCCGGCAATCCTGCTGCCACCTCTATCTGGCTGCCCTGGAAAACACAGGCTGGGGTTTGGAGCCCCTTTTGTTTCTCTGGGTGTGAGGAAGGGTGACTTGTCAGAGATCATGAGGCCTTCCTCCCACTGCTCTTCTGGCTTCATTTTTTTTTTTTTCCGGTACTGGGGCTTGAACTCAGGACCTTCATCTGGAGCCACTTCACCAGCCCTATTTTTTGTGAAGGGTTTTTTGAGATAGGGTCTCACGTAACTATTTGCCTGGGCTGGCTTCAAACCATGATCCTCCAGATCTCTGCCTACTGAGTAGCTAGAATTACAGGCATGAGCCACCGGCTCCTGGCTTTGGCTTCAAATTTGAGGCTAACGAATCAGGGGGTTTTTGGTTGGAGAGTGATGAATGGACGTGAGTCAGAGACAAGGAAAGCCTTTGCTGTGCAGGTTGCTGTGCAGGGTGCTTTGTGAGCCAGTATGGTTGGTGTCTGCTTACCTCGAGCTCCAGGTGACATTGGATGGGGGCCAGGCTGGCTATAGGAAGGACATTCTGAGGGGATGGGAAGGGATGAGGATAAGGTTGGCCAGCAGAGAGGCCATCTGGGCTAGGGAACAGGCATACAGCACAGCTCACATAAGCCACCCGGCCAGGACTTAGTGTGTCCAGTTCTCAACACTGGAGGATGGGTGGCTGTGAGCAGAGGCCAGGAGCAGATGGACTGGCATCAAGGGAAAACAATGACGATATCTATGTGGATTGTAAATAGTTTATGGCACACCTCCTCTGTGCCAGGTACTTGTCCTGGGTACCAGTAAGAAAAAGCAGTCCTAGCCAGAGCTTACATTCTAGAGCGGGGAATAGATACTGAAGGACCAATTTTAGCTGTTATCAATGCTACAAAGGAGGGAAGTGTTCAGGGAAGCCTCTAGCAGCAGGAAGGGATGGTGATCGGGAAGGATTCCTGTAGGTAGTGACATTCATGGGATGAGGAGGACATTCTAGCCCCAGGGAAAGCTTTGAGGTGAGAAGAAATGTTTCAGGAATTGAGCAGCAGAAACCAGTGTGGCAGGAGCTTGGAGGGTAAGGAGGAAAAAGACAGGAAAGGAGGCGAAAAGGGTAGAGTAGGGACAACTGTGTTCCAAGGGTCTTGTAGACTGCTCTAAGGGTTTTGAGCTTTGTCCTAAGGGTAATGAGAAGTTATTGAAGGATTTGAACCAGGAAAGTGACCAACTCAGGTATACATTTTGATATTCTTTTCTTCTTCTTCTTCTTCTTTTTTTTTTTGTGGTGCTAGCGATCAAACCCGGGGCCTTGCACATGCTTGGCAAAAACTCTGCCACTGAGTTACATTCTCAGCCCATATCTAATGCTTACAAATCAGTATTTTTGTTTATTTATTTATTTATGGTGGTACTGGAGATTGAACTCAGGACCTTGCACTTACTGGGCAAGTGCTGTACCACTTGAGCAACACCCCAGTCCTCACATGTGCATTTTAAAGTGCTCACTCTGGCTGCCTTCACAGGCTGAAGGGAGACCATCTGGAGGTTACTGTCATACTCTGGGGACAGAGGGGGCTGAGACCAAGCAGGCAGGGAGGGCAGTGAACACATTTGGGAGAGAGACCAAATACAGAGACTGGAACTGGACACATGCGTGTGGATGAGCTGTTAACATCATGAGGACCTCTGATTCTGGGACTGAAAAGGTCTTAAAACTCTTCGATTCAGGGTTGTAGACTGTAGCATAAACCAGTGGCTTGCTAACCAGCTGTTTAATAAATACATTCTAAGTCAGAATAGGCTGGAATAAAAAGTATCAGAGTATGATGTTTAGTGTGAATAAGTATTGCTTTGTAAAGTCTCGGTATAGATGTGTGAGTATTAGATCACGTTGTAATGTAAGATACATTTCGCACTAACATGTTTAAAACCATTGACTGTATTTCCACTTTGCACTGGATAAGGAAGGGAAGGAGATGAGGACCTGGCAGAGCTCTTTGTCAGTGGGTACTTTGGGGTGGGGGGGAGTCGCAGATAAGTACAACTCATCTCCTCCTTCTGTGACACCCGAAGGGACTAGGCTCATCAACATGTGCCTCCTAAGACGGGAGGATGGGCCTGAGGTGGGGCTGGGGTTCAGAGGAGGTGGGTAGCCTCCAGGCAGGGCAGCATTCCGTCACCTCTTGCCTTTCAGAAACAGCATTGCCGCTTCTGCTGTCTGCGCCTTCAACCTCAGTGCTATTTCCCAAGCTTTCAATGGCCCATTTCGTTATCAGGAGAACCCCAGGGCTGCCTGGCTCCCCATCGCCAACCCCATTCCCAACTTCCAGGTACAGCTTCTTCTCTGCTCCCCACCTCCAGACTATCAGCCACAAGCTGATTCCCAACTGCTCAGCACAGATGAACACCAGCCTTATCCCTGCTGCTTTAGGCCTGTCTTTGGGGTCTGCAACGGGTCCTTAGGAGATAGTAACCTTAGACTGTGAGCAAGAAGGGGAGTGGGTGAGAGGTAGAGTCAGTAAGCCTTCTCTGAGCCATCTCTGAATGTGATCCCACACCTCCAGAGGGGCAGAAGGGCCCACCTCAGTTCTGTGCAGTATGGGGGACCAGAAGAGCACTACACAAGAAAGACCTGGCTGGAACTTGGGGGTTTTAGCTAGAGTTGTTCACAGTGTGTCCACACACTAATGTCTGCAGGGACTCTGAGTGCTGGGTGTGGTCAGAACCCAGCATGGGTGTTATGACAGGTTCCCATCCTTGATGGGAAGGGGAGAAAACAAGGTGCCAGAGGAGGCTACTGATGCTTGACCTTCATGGTCCTCCTGCCCTCCTGCCCCAGGGGAGGTGTGGAATTGGGCAACTCTGACCCAAATCTAGCCTGTCTTTGTGTGACCTTGGGAGGTCATCCAACCTCCTTTTTCTTTATCTGGAACTAGGGATAATACCATAATAGATAATACCTCATGCATATGTGTGAAGGTTGGTTTGCCTGGAGCGTAGTATGTACCCAATAAAGGGTGACTGCCTTTGGCTTAGAAGTCATAAGAACTTTGAGCTGATAGGGATACAGGAGAGGGAAAACAGGTTGGCCCTATGTGAGGAAAGGCACCTGGGAAACAGCATAAAGTCACAGGACACGGTCCATGTTCAAGTGATTTGTTTGGAGATGATAGTCCACACTCCTTTACCCTCCCTTTCTTCTTTCCCTGTCCTGGAAGGCCCCTTTCGCGATCATCTTCCCAGTCACATTTTCTCTTAGTTCCAAAGAGACATTCTTGCCCGGAAAGGGTTGGCAGCATATTGGGGCCAGAAGATGTTGGAGAATTAGCATTTGCCCGAGGCCATCTGAGTTACAGTGAGGAAGAGGGGGAGGGGAGATCGCTGGCAGCTGCAGCGGTGTGGGGGCTGCGCACATGTGACCTGCTACCCCTCCGCAGTGCGGCACCCTACCGGAGACCGGCCCCAACGAGAACCTCACCGAGCGCAGCCTGCAGGACGCACAGCGCCTGTTCTTGATGAGTGAGGCCGTGCAGCCTGTGACACCCGAACCCTGTGTCACGCAGGACAGCGTGCGCTTCTCTCACCTCGTGGTGGACCTTGTGCAAGCCAAGGACACGCTCTACCACGTGCTCTACATCGGCACAGGTAAGCCGGCCCGGCCCAACCTGGGCTGTATGTGGGGAGGCGGTTGCGGGCAGGGTGGGGCTGCAAGGTTCCAAGCTTCAAGGCCATCTTCTTGTGTGACTCTTCAGAGTCGGGCACCATCCTAAAGGCGTTGTCCACCGCGAGTCGCAGCCTCCGCGGCTGCTACCTGGAGGAGCTGCATGTGCTGCCCCCCGCGCACCGCGAGCCCCTGCGCAGCCTGCGCATCCTGCACAGCGCGCGCGCGCTCTTCGTGGGGCTGAGCGACAGCGTGCTGCGGGTCCCGTTGGAGAGGTGCGCCTCCTACGGCAGCCAGGGGTAAGCTGCCCCCGGAAGGGAAGGGGGGAGGGGGGAGTAGTCAGGGCCATCCCTTTGTGGCATCCCTGCACAGTCTCCAGTTGCGTGGCTTTGGACAAGTCATTTAACCTCTCTGAACCATGGTTTCCTCCTCCTAAAATATCTTGCAGGGTTTTTGTGATCAGCATAAAGCACTTATCATTGCTTGGGGAAATTATGTGCTTAGCAAATTGCGTGACTATTGTTATTCCTGATGGCAGCCCCATAGTTCCAACCTGTCAACTATTTGTAGCTCACTTGATTTACTGTGCCCTTTTGGTTCAGAGAGGTCTTGGGCACTTCTTGTCCAGGTGTGGGGGGTAGATGGGAGATGAGTCAGCCCCAAGCCTTTGTCCCTCAGGAGGCAAAGAAAACTGGGTGCAGAGCCACTTCGAGGAGTTGTACTGTTTTCCCACTGCTTCTGAGATCAAGTCTGCATACCACAGCTTCAGTTTGTTACCGATTTGGCAACAATGACAGCAATATTTAACAGGGGAAACAAAGCCAAGTGGAAATATATTCCAGAGTAGCTGCCCTCAAGGTTGCTCAGGCTGTATCCCTCCTTTTCGTGACCATCAAAAGCTGGCACAGCCACAGCCATGCTGACTTCTGTGGCCTTTACAATAGAGAGAGTCCTCCTGGCTGTACCATCTGTCCTCAAGATTTGAGAGACAAATGGTATCCATGCTGCCAAGGTTTGTTTTTAGTCTTAGTGGAATGTGCTGGGACCTGGGCAGGAAGGAGGCTATATGGTCATGGTGTGGCAGCTGAGGACCAGGAGTACAGTGAGTGGGCAGGCACTCAAGCCCTGTGTCATGCTTGTGTCAGGGAAACAGCGCACATTTACAAAGCTCTGCCATGTTTGGGGTACTTTGCAGGACTATTGGTGTAACAGGAGACACAATGAATAGGCCACAATACTTACTACCTTCAAAGCTCTGGAATCTGGTTATCGAGAGAAACCTCCTCCCTGTAATTGCCATGTGGAGAGAGGCAGAAGGGCCTAGTGGGAAAAACTCAGGTGGTAGAATTAGACACACCTGGGGATCCATCATGCACTAGCTGTTTGATCTTGAGCAAATTATTTAGCCTTTTTGAGCTTCAGTTCTCCTACTAGGAAAACAGGGTAATTTGGTGGAACAAATGATGTTTAACCTAGGCAGAGTTGTAATGATGGAGACTGTATTCATGAAGTGCTTAGTTAGCAAATCATAAGTGGAAACTAGTATCTTTTATTCCTTTTTTTTAAATCTTCCCAATAGCATTTAGGAGCCGCCCAGCCTCCTGGGCGCTCTGGAATCTGTGACTTTTGAATACACACAGCACTGCTTGGCAATGAATCACCGGCTAGCTGCTGACAGCATTTTTCTCATCTCTTGTGTTCTTCTTTAACACTTGTGTTGTTATTAAACTTTTCACATATGCCTTGTTTTGCAAGAGGTTGTAAATCCTTAAAGGCAAACCCACTGGCCCAGAAGTTTTTATACTCTATCCAGCCCAAGGTACAAAGTGGCCTTCCACATAGGACTGACCCTTCAGTTGACTAATTATTTTGTCTTGAAAGGTGATCAGGAGGAAAGACCTGTAGAATGGGTGAATACATTTTTGTTTTTTCCTTTAAGACAGATCTGGCTGTAGGACCCAGGCTGGCCTTAAACTTTTGATTCTTCTGCCTCAGCCTCCTGAGTGCTGGGATTTCAGGTGTATGACATGGTGTAGGGACTGGTACTGGAAAGTGGTTGAGTCCAGATGAGAAGAATTTGACTTGAAGCCTGTGGCTGTTGCTACTAACATTGTTGTGAAGCAGTGAATCTCAGGCTGCATAGTAAGGTGTTTTATAAGGATTGATCAGACAGTGGCCAGCAGGAGTATTGTCATGGGGCAGAATGGACATCCAGGATGAGCTAGTGTGGCTCCACCCAGACATGAAGTCCTGGGCTCTGCTATGGAATAGGGAAGGAAAAGTTCTGGAACATTCCCTGTCCGTCCCCCTCCCCCACTATATGCACACAGGTCTGCAGAGGGGGTGGGGAGATTGTGTACTGGGCCCTGTGTACTCCTACCCTGGAACGAGGTGGCAGGAGGTCAGTTTGGAGTTTGATGCTTTTGTCCTTTTTGGTTTTTTGAGTAAGGAATAGGAGCCTCTTGGAGTATTAAGTGAAAACCCTGCCATAAACCTACCAGTGGATCCAAAAACTATGAAAAGCAAAGTCATATTATTACAACTTTAATAAAATGACACAAGCAAGTATGTGCAACCACCAAAGTGTGTATGTAGTCCAACTGTGGGGGCCAACTGGCAACCACAGTCTATCAGAATTTGTGCTATCATGGTACGTGTGTCACAGGGTTTGACTTTGTCCTAGGACACATGCTTATGTCCTCATTCTTTCCAAAGCTGACAGCAGGATGAGATGGGTAAACAGAGGCACTGTTGGACCCCTTCCTTTGACCAGGCATTTGTCTCCAACAACCTCCTTTTGCTCAGGCAAATCTCAGCACCACAGGGTATGACCAAGAACTGTGGAGCAGGGTGCATGTGAGGAAGAGGAGGAGAAAGAACCACTGGCTGACTCCATGAAATAGAGGATCAGCGCATGAATCACCCCTCACTCCTTCCAGTAGGCCTTTGGCCCCGCCCTTGGGAGCAGGTCCCCTTCTCCTTGCCTGCCCAAGAGCAGGGAAGGCCCACGCTCATGAGGCCCTTGTGCCTCTGCATTCTTAAGTAATGGTCATTTGTTCACAAGCCCCAGGATGCCTTTTCCACCCTGGACAGCTCCCATTGTGAGACTTTATGCAGGGAGCTGGAATCCGCCACTTACAGCATCCACCATCCATCTTTGTCCTGCCGCGAGCCCATGGAATGAACCTGTTCCCTTTTATAATGGCCGCTTAAGACAGTGCAGTAAAAAAGTGATGCATTATTGGCCTGATGGCCCCTTTTATGAAAAGAACTCTAAATTGCCTCCCCTTTCTACAGTCACGGGCACACTGTAACTCTTTGGCTTAGAGCTTTCATTTTCTTAAGAGTGCTCCCTGACCTGTCAGCTTTGAAGTGGCCTTGGTAGATCCACCTGAGCCAGGGGGCAGGGATCTTCTTTAGTTAGTCACAGCAGGAGAACACAGGCACTGATCACAGGGAATGTCAAAGGCACTTCAGGCTGCGGAGCAAGGGCAGAGGTGGGGGCAGGGTGGGTGAGCCTGGAGAATATGGTCTCTTTCTTTTCTGGGACTTAGCTGAGACTAGAGAGAGAGGCTGAGAGGGCCTGGAAAGGAGAGGCTGGGACCAACATCTACTCTGCATTTTTCTTTCTCTTACCCTATTCTCTCAGGGATTGGAAAAAATGAGGCTGTCACTTAGGTTGAGACCCTGATAAAAGGGGCTCTGGAACAGCATTTCTCGAACATAGCTATTCACTGAAGTCACCTGGAAGAGTGTTTAAAGATTCTAGCACTTGGGCCTTTTCCAGTCCAAAAAGGTGGCTTTTTGTTCTGTTTGCTTAAGCATTTTTAAAGACTCAGGATTTGCAGTCTAGACTGATAATGACTGCCCTAGAATGAGTGAGGCCCTGAGGAAGAAGTAGCATGAGGCACATGGGTTCCTCCAGGATCTGATTTAGTCTTGCATAAGCCAATGCAAAGCCAATGCAAATTTTGTATCCTTAACCATCTTCTTGCTGGCAGACATTTGTTTTTGGTGGGTAGACTGTTACCTGTTATTATTATCGATTGCAAGTCATGGCTAATTCTTTTTTACCTAGTTAATTTATGTTGTTTAGAAAGTGCCACATCAGCTATTTCTCAAGTTATTCCTTCTTGGAGGCTAAGGGAAATAAACTCAGGCATGGGCCCTCCCGAGTTCTGATTGGTTGGATTTGCTAGCAGTCTCCTTGGTTCAATTGTCAGCCAGTGAGCAGAGTCTCAAAAGCACAGGTTGTGGGATGCCTTGTGAAGATGGTTTTCATTGAGCCCCATGATGTTCAGTTTGATAGATTCTGCTGATGAAACACTGTCAAATCAAACCATTGATCCCAGAGGAAAATCTAAGCACATTTATATTGTATGGTTTACACAAATTGTCCTTGAGAGAGCAAAATAGAAACAGATTCACTAGCAACAAGTGAGTGCTCCAGATTCCTTGGTGGGGTGGGCCACAGTGTGCTCACTGGGGTTCAGTGAGGACCTCACCCCCTTAAGCCTCAAGCATCACCTCACTTATGCAAGACCACAGGGCCCAGTATGGTGGCACGTACATGCAATCCTAGTTACTCTGGAGGAGGATCAAGATTCAAGGCTAGTCTGGGTAAAAGTTGGAGACTCTATCTCAAAAATAAACCTAGTATGGTGGCCTGTGCCTGTTGTCCCAGCTACTTGGGAGGTGGAGGTAGGAGGATCATGGTTTGAGGCCAGCCCAGGCAAAATTAGGGCAAGACTCTATCTATAAAAAACAAACTATAAGCAAAAGGACTAGGGGCATGGCTCAAGTGGTAGAGCCATGCTTCTGACTCTGAATCTAACTCCCAGTAGAAAAAAATCATGGGTCAGTCCAGAACAGGGGACAGCACTATTTTCTTCAGCTCCTGGTGACCAGGATATGTCCTGTCCTCTTCTTTGTAAAGCTTCTCACATCACTTTTTTTTTTAAATAAAATGAAGACCTTACCTGACAGGTGACTGTCTTAAAGCATCAAGAGAAAAGAAGAATTCAATCCCAAAGGCACTCAAAACTGCACCCGCTTGGCTTTTGTGTGTATCCCTTTGGCTGTCAGCATCCTAAGCCCCTTTGGCCAATGGGAAAATGCCTCTGCAAGCTCACATAATGGTGTGGACTCATCTGCCTGTCTCCCCTAGCTTCTTTGTAGTCCAGCACCTCCTTCTCGAGGCCTCTGTGCTTTCTCACCTTTAATTTCCAAGCCCCTGCTCCACTGCTCTTTCAAAGCCTCTCCAGAAGGTCTGGTCAAAGGGGGTGGAAGCTGGGGAAAGGAGCAGAAGGGATCATATATCCCTTGGGATTGGCAGCAGACTCTCTGGGTGTCAGAGGACTCCCTCTTTCTGGCTTCAGGATTGAATAAAGATTTAAATTTCTTATTTAAAAAATGTAAAGGCTATATGATAGGAATATTTGAAAGAAGAAAAGGAAGAAAGGAACTCTGGAATATGAGAAGCAGAGGCACCTAGGACATGCATTGGTGTGTGGATCATTACCTGTTCTGGGCCACTGCAGAGAGACCAACCCTGAGGCCAGGAAAAGGGACCTAGAATATGACCTCCTCCTGGCAGCTGAGCTTATTCATCTGACACTGAAGCGCTGGACCCTGCTTTCTGTCACTGAACAGCACAGGTGTGGGGAAGCCCCACATGACCCTGCATGTACTTAGGATCCTCTCACGCCATGCTGTGTTTTGAGGGATAGACCCACATTCACTCAGGGTGTGGAGTTAGACATGACCTTCCACTGGGAGGCAGGAGTGTGAGGGGAAGGGTATGGCAGTCCCATGGTGGACCCAGCTCCACCAGGTACAATTTGTGTGATGGCAGGGAAACCTATTCTTTCTTCTTTGTACTTCTTTGTTCTTCTTTGAAAAGGCTGTGTTTTGGAGCCCAGTGATTCTCGAGTGGGCTGCCTTTAGAATTGCTCAGAGAGCTTTTAAAAACCGTCCTACCATAGAGATTCCTATTTGGTGTGGGCTCAAGTATCAGTATTTTAAAAATTTCCTCAAGTGATTCTCATGTGAGCCAGAGTGGAGAACCAGTCTAAGGTCTTCTCCGTCTCTAACCAGAGGATCTGACAGGAAGGTGCTGCCTCTTTGGATTTCTGTTACACACATCTCCTGTGGCTCCAGGTGAGGAATATGGGGTGTTCATCCTCAGGGAACACAGTCCAGTATCTTGGTTAAGTGCACGCTGTCTGCACTTAACCAAGCGGTCACCTCTCTGGGTTTCCTCCACACAATGTGGGGATAGTAATGAACCTACTTCACGGGTTGCTGCATTAAATTAACTCATGCTTGTAAAGTGCTTAAAATGATGCCTGACACACAAACAGTATGCAGTGAACTTTGTTATCATGAAGGGCAACTGGCTGGAAAGGTACCTAGAGGGGGGTGTCCAGGTTTGCTCTTGAGATGAAGCTGAGAACTGGAAGCCAGTGGGCTTGAGTCTCAGGACCTCTGTCTGGCAGGGCATGTTTAGGGGCACGAGACCCGTACTGCGGCTGGGATGGAAAGCAGCAGCGTTGCGGCACGCTCGAGGACAGCTCCAACATGAGCCTCTGGACCCAGAACATCACAGCCTGCCCTGTGAGAACCCCTTCATGACCCCCACCTCACATCCCTCTCCTCAATCCAGGCTATGACTCCCTATCAGAATTTTCCAAGTCCTCTGGGGTCTTGTGCCTCCCCTGCCCCTGCCTTGTATGACAGGGGCCCTGCCCCATATGTGGGTCTGCAGGTGCGAAACGTGACACGGGATGGGGGCTTTGGCCCATGGTCGTCGTGGCAACCATGTGAACACTTAGATGGAGACAACTCAGGTTCTTGCCTGTGCCGGGCCCGATCCTGTGACTCCCCCCGGCCCCGCTGTGGGGGCCTTGACTGCTTGGGGCCAGCCATTCACATCGCCAACTGCTCCAGGTAGGTGAGGACAGGGCTTGCACAGTGGCTTCCTAGGACGCAGGTGGGGAGAACTGGAAAATGTGACATCCTCACTGAGGTGTTTCCACTAAGGGGTGGAAACCATTTCAGGACAGTGCTGGAGACTGGACATGTGGCTAACGTCTGAGGCAGGAAACATCCTAGGTGAGCTTCTACACTAGTAGGAGAAAAGTCTCTGCTTCATGGGGTCTCTTGATGAAAAGAGAAAGGCTGGACAGGCATGACAGTCACTTCCAAAGGCTAGCCATAATCAGCCTGGCTGACTCAAACTTGAGGGACAGCATGGGACAGTGGCAACCCTAGGTTGCACAGTCTAGAGTTGTGATCTTGGCCAGCCACCCAACTGCTCTGAGTTTCTCAGAAATGGTTACAGTACCTATCCTAGAGCTGTTGAGATGGTTAAAGGAGATAATGTGTGTAAAGAACTTAGATACTGCCTGATACCAGGGTACTCCATAAAATGGTTATAATAACAACTAACCCATAATCTTAATTACTCTTTAAATAGTTATTTCATACATTCACTAATGTAACCCTCACTGCAACCTCAAGTAGGAATGCAATCATTAGGAGAGCCCAGCTTTGATCATTTGAGTCAAAGTGGACCAGAGTGAGTAGTGTGTCTGAGTTTAAAGCAAAGCATGTGCAGTGGAGAATGGTGGGGGAGCAGAGTGTGGTCTGACTGAGTGCAAGGACTGGCCAACCAAATGGGGGGAAAGAAAGGTTGCAGGCTGCGAAGGTGTCTGGGGCCTTCCCTAATGAGTGTGCCCTTTTGTGTGTAGGGGCCTGTCCTATCTCTGTGTCCTTAGCCCTGAGCAAGCCTGATAAATGGAAGAAGGCTCTCAATACATATTTGAAGCATGAATAAGCAAATGGATGAGTGCACCAGTATGCCTGAAATGGCCTGGTTAGGCGCTGGTATTTTCTGTCGTAGCCCTTCCTGACGACAATACAAAATCCATCTGCCCTGATGCAGACCAGATCTAAGAAGCTAGGGCTCAGAGGGGCATCCATCTCTGTCTCTACAGGAATGGGGCGTGGACCCCGTGGTCATCATGGGCGCTGTGCAGTACGTCCTGTGGGATCGGTTTCCAGGTCCGCCAGCGAAGTTGCAGCAACCCTGCGCCCCGCCATGGAGGCCGCATCTGCGTGGGCAAGAGTCGGGAGGAGCGGTGAGCTAGCGCGCGGCTGTGGGTGGGATCTAAGGCTGGATGCCCTGAGATCCCAGACTTGCAGGGCCTGCTGGAAAGCAGCTTGGATTCTCAGGGTGACCCAGGGGACTTTCATCCTTGCTAGTCTCCGCACTCCCTGTGACATCTTGTCAGGGGCTGCGGTACCCCTCCTTAGGGTGACTACTCTCCCTTCCCTTCTCCCCAGGTTCTGTAATGAAAACACTCCTTGCCCAGTGCCCATCTTCTGGGCCACCTGGGGCTCCTGGAGCAAGTGCAGCAGCAACTGCGGGGGCGGCGTGCAGTCGCGGCGTCGGGCCTGCGAGAACGGCAACTCCTGCCCGGGCTGCGGCGTGGTGAGGGCCGGGGCGGGGGGCGCGGGGTGCGGGCAGGGCACGCCAGGGGACTGCGGGGCTCTGAAACCACCCCCACCCCGAAGGAGTTCAAGACGTGCAACCCCGACGCCTGCCCCGAGGTGCGGCGCAACACGCCATGGACGCCGTGGCTGCCCGTGAACGTGACGCAGGGCGGGGCGCGGCAGGAGCAGCGCTTCCGCTTCACGTGCCGCGCGCCCCTGCCAGACCCTCACGGCCTGCAGTTTGGCAGGAGGAGGACAGAGACCAGAACCTGCCCGGCCGAAGGCTCGGGAGCCTGCGACACTGACGGTACAGCGTCGCACCCTCTGCGATGGGCGTGGAGGTGGGCGGGGGGCGCGTGGGAGCCCCAGGGGACGTCTGGGACGGGAACGGGGACCCGACGTCCTCATCCCTGAGGCCCGCGGTCCTCCCCAGCCCTGGTGGAGGATCTCCTGCGCAGCGGGAACACTTCCCCGCACACGCTGAGTGGAGGCTGGGCCGCCTGGGGTCCATGGTCGTCCTGCTCCCGGGACTGCGAGCTGGGCTTCCGCGTCCGGAAGAGAACGTGCACCAACCCCGAGCCCCGCAACGGAGGCCTGCCCTGCGTGGGTGATGCCGCCGAGTACCAGGACTGCAACCCGCAGGCTTGTCCAGGTAACATTGAGCAAGGAATCCCTGACCTGCGGAAACCCTCACCAAGGAAGGCAGGCCTGGCCCAGTAACCTCTTTACCCTGCCAATTCTGGGCGGGGTGTGGGGGTGGAAGGGAGGTTGCCCTAACCATGGACTCAGTGGCTCGTCTAGTGGAGTAGGGCCTTTCTTCCTCCTTCCTCACTTTTTTCCTTTCCCCTAGTGGGTTAGCCAGAGGAGGAGTTTGATTTGAGATGAAGCTGAGCGCTCTCTGCTAGTGTCTCTTCTGCTGCTGCCTGCATTTCCCCTGCCCCGTGCCCTGGGGCGGAGACACTCCCTAACAGTCGTCTGTCGGATGGGGGCGGGGCTTGGGTGGGTGGCGAAGTCACGGGTAATCCAGAGCAGCCCTGCTCACTCACGACATCCACTTGCAGTGCGTGGTGCCTGGTCCTGCTGGACCTCGTGGTCCCAGTGCTCAGCCTCCTGTGGTGGGGGCCACTATCAACGAACTCGTTCCTGCACTAGCCCCGCACCCTCCCCAGGTGAGGACATCTGTCTTGGGCTGCACACCGAGGAGGCACTATGTGCCACACAGGCCTGCCCAGGTACTGGGTGCATCTGGCCGGGCTGGGGAGCATCATGGAGCCTCTGATCCCCAGAAGGGGTCCTAAGGCACTTAACCCCATCCCAACTCACAACCCACAGAAGGTTGGTCACCATGGTCTGAGTGGGGTGTCTGCACTGAGGATGGAGCCCAGAGCCGGAGCCGGCGCTGTGAGGAGCTTGTTCCAGGGCCGGGTGCCTGTGCTGGCAACAGTAGCCAGAGCCGGCCCTGCCCCTACAGCGAGATTCCTGGTAGGTCCTTCTGCTACCACCTCTCACTAACCACTTTTCCCCTCCTGATGCTACAGTTCCTTTCCCTTCATCCTCCCTCTCGGGAAGCTTGAGGTTGGGTAGGGGTGCAGAATGTACCTTTGGACACAACTCACATCTTTGCCTTGGACATACCCTTGGGGCACTGTGCCTAGTGAATAGGCTACCCTTTATAGAAGAGGGGTCTCTGGAGAGGCAGAGAGTGAAGACCCCAGGCCCAGTCCTGGATCTCATTGCTGACCCAGGGGTCCTTTCAGACCACACCCAACTTAGGAGGGAGCCCTCCCTCTGCACTCTGCCCTAACACCTTCTTCACTTGTTTCCCTGCAGTCATCCTGCCTGCCTCCAGCCTGGAGGAGGCCACCGACTGTGGAGGTAAAAAGAGGCACTTGTGACACTGTCCTTCTGCCCCTCTTCCACCATACTGCAAAGTCCAGACTCTTTCCTCTTCCGCTCTAGAGAGCCAAGCCTTGTGGAAGTAGGGGTGGAGGGTGGGAGTTGTCTCCACTACTTTGAGGCCATGTTAAGGGAGGTCTTGGCAGTTCCATCCAGGCCTCCCCAACTAAGACCGTCAGCAGTCTCTACCCAAGATATTCACATCCAGATCATCTGGTTGTCACCTCTGACTCAAACCATAGGTTGTCCTGTGAGAGAAGCTCTGGTGACAGGCTACTCACTTTCCCAGTTTCCTTTGGCTCTGGCTTCAAAGGCCCTTTCTTTTCTTCATATCACAGAGCCTCCTATTGCTGATTCTGTTCCCAGGTAGGCAGTCAGGAGTCCCCCTTTTTCACAGTAGCCCTTTTCTTACCACCTGCCTGTCCTTCTCCAGGGTTTAGTCTTATCCACCTCGTGGCCACGGGCGTCTCCTGCTTCCTGGGCTCTGGGCTCCTGACCTTGGCCGTGTACCTGTCTTGCCAGCACTGCCAGCGCCAGTCTCAGGAGTCCACACTTGTTCATCCTGCCACCCCCAACCACCTGCACTACAAGGGTGGGGGCACCCCTAAGAATGAGAAGTACACACCCATGGAGTTCAAGGTAGGAGCCTTCTTATAGAAGCAGAGGGCAGGGTGAAGGGTACACTAGCCCTGGCCCTAAGCTGGGCATAAGTGAGGCAGGCAGTGAGAGGAAATACAGTGGTGTGAAAGAGCTGTGTCAACAGCTGGAATGTTCCTTCAGTGGCTGACCCCTGGACTCTTGCCCACGCCTGTCCCCTTACCCATCCTTTTCCTCACTCCTTTCTCTCTTGCTCTTTCTTTGTTCCATAGACCCTGAATAAGAATAACCTGATCCCTGACGACAGAGCCAACTTCTACCCACTGCAGCAGACCAATGTGTACACGACCACCTATTATCCCAGCCCGCTGAACAAGCCCAGCTTCCGGCCCGAAGCCTCACCTGGACAGCGGTGCTTCCCTAACAGCTGATCCCACCATCCTGGGACTTGGGCTCCTTGCCTTCCCAAGGCACAGAGCAGTGCAGATGGGACAGTGGAGCCACTTCGGTTTTCTCCCTCTGTGCTAGGCCAAGAACTTGCTGCCTAGCCTGTGGGGATCCTATCGGGCTTCAGAGAGCTCTGACTGGCAATGACCATGGGGGAGAGGGCTGGCTTCAGGCTGGCATACAGCTGCGGATCCAGCTCAGCCGGGTCTCTCATGGCCTCCTTGTGACCCACCATCACGCTGACCCTCCCTTGCAATGTCAGAGCTGCAGACCTGCTGGGCACATGAGGAACTGGACGGTAGAGATGGCAGGAGGGCAGGCTCTGAGGTTTGGGCTGGAAATGACTTACAATGGCCACCACAGGCCAAGCTGACCCTTCCTGGCTGACCCCCAAGAAAGGCCTGGTCTGCATCCAGCTTATCTCTGCAAGGAACTCATTAAACGGCCCAGTGGCTCTGGACCTTTGCCCAGGGCTGGACCATTGTGGTGCTGGCCCATAATGCATAGGGGACCAATGCTGGCCCAGGGACAATCTGTATTTCACCCAGGGACATCCTTTGGTCAGAGGCAGTGAGGACTCGGAACTGGAGACTGGTCTTTGCTAAGAATGCCTTTAATGTGGCCTTAGCCTCGCCCTCAGAATGCACTAAAAGTGGCCCAGGAGGAAGGAAGGCTAAGACTATAGGAGGCAGATTCCGGCCTCTGTTCCTCTATGGAGACTGTCTTCCAGTTGCTGCTCAACAGAGTCGTTGGCTAAGACCAGCTTGGGAGTCTCTGCTGGCCCCTTATCTATTCAGGAACACACACACAACATACACACCATCTGCTACAGCAACAGGAAGGATGTTGAACTGTGGCATTATTAATTAAAGATGATATCCAGTCTCCAAATGTAACTTTGTCTTTGCATGTGTGTGTGGGCCCCTCTTGGCACAGTCTAGTCCATCAGAGCAATGCTCTAGGGTAACAGATGGTGTCTCAAGCTGGAGGAAACAACCCAAGTAGAGTTTGACTTTAATGGAGGATATCTTTCCATGAGTGGGTTTATGTACATGTACACATGTATTGCCTTAGTCTCTTTAAAAAAAAAAAAAAGAGGTTTGGGATAAATTTACAAGTGGGGACATAAGGTATACCAAAGGCAGTACAGCAGGAGAGATTTGTACCTGTTCCCTGAGCAGTTCTTCCTGGAAACAGGTCCAGGGTAAAGATGGGGAATCCAGCAGGAAGGTGATTTATGAGATATGTTTGATGCTGTTTAATAAGACCAAATTGAGAAATGAGTGAATCTGTGAGGAGGGGGAAGGCTCATGTAGTTTCTGCTGAATTAAATAAAAATAACCTAAGAGCTTTAGCTCACCAAATCAATGCTGCCATTTTGGATAAGATTGATGGACATTTTAAATTTAGAGAGCAATTTCCTGACTTAATTGGCCAGATCAAGTCTTCTAAGATTCCCAGCTGAGTCTAACTGTAGGTAGACTGTAAAGCCTATAATCTGAGTGGTACAGTGAGAGAAGGGTCTTTGGGAATGGAGGAATAAATTCTTGAAGCTTGAGGGTCCCTGGAAGGGAGGAGGAACAGAGCCTGCCGGGAATCATGTTACTCACCTGAGACATCTAATGTGGCAGAGTCCCTGGGCCAAGGTGGAGCCCAATCAGAGTGAACTCATGGAGCATGTGAGTATTTGCAGCTTTGGGATTCCTGACAGGTTCCTGTTAGCCCCACAAGACCAGAGCTTGTGGGTGCTTGTGGGACATTTTAGATCCTGGGATCTCAGATTCCCTTGAGTGTGATAGAACCAATGAAGTTCATGAGAATTCCAGGGCTCAGGATGTCTGTCTCAGAAGAGTCCCTTCATATGTCCAAGTGGAGGAAGTGGAAAATTCCCAGGTAATGCCCAACCTGTATTGGTTGGAATGACATCACTAGGAATGTAAACCCTTGGGTGCCCAACACACACACACACACACACACACACACACACACACACAAACGCAATTCTCTTTTTATAAAAACTTCTGGTTTTAGAGTCATGATCATTCAGAAAGCATGAGAGGCTCCATACTGCATACAGAAGCGCTGGCATAGTTGGTAAAGGCTATGTAACAATCAGCCTCAGCCCAGAGCTAAGGACCCTAAAAGTGCTCCCAGACAAGAAGAGCATGGTGCTCCAGCAGGTATCAGGGAGCTGATGTGTGAATGGCAAGTGGGCTTTTTCAGCCCAGATGGCTCAGGGATAGTGAGAAAGATGTAGGAGCGGAAGCTCCAGGCTGTCTTGGACTCTTTTGTGTTTAAATAACTTTTTGTGTGTGTGAGCATGCCCTTTCTTATTATTAAAATCATACATATTCATTGCAGAAAATTTAGAGGAAACAGGAAACCAAAAAATCCTATGATTATACTAAAAACCAAGGCAGAGACTTAGGGATTTTAAATGGCAGTGTGAAGGCATTTCTTCCCCTTTCTCTCAATATCACCCAAAAAGCAAAGGGAAGAAAAAACAACCTCTGTCACTATTTTCAATAAAACTAGGATGTAACTATAATCTCAACTCATAATACAGTTTTTCCTTAGTATTCTTGGGGAATTGCTTCCAGGACACATGCCCCTTGTGGATACCAAAATCTGTGGATGTTCAAGTCACTTGTAGAAAATGGAGTAGTATTTGCATGTAAGTTATGCACGTCTTCATGTATGCTTTAAAACATCTCTCAATGTAGATGCTATGAAAATAGATGTTGTTCTGTATTGTGAGGGAATAATGACAAGGAAGAACATTTGTACATATTCAGTACAGATGCAATTTTTCTTCAATACTTTCTATCCATGGTTGGTTAAATCTCTGGTATGGAATCGGTGGATGGGGACAATCAATTGTCCATGAAAGACCAGCAGTCATCTGATAGAATAGATGTGGGTCAAATCTAAGCATCTAAGGGAGTTCAGAAAAAATGAAATTCAAGAAACCAGGTATGCAAAGGGTGGCCCTTTGAGAGAGGGTTTGGTTGAAAATCCATGTGTAACAGCAGCCCATGGAACCTTCTCCAAAATAGATCATATCCTAGGGCACAAAGCAAGCCTCAGCAAATATAAGAAAATGGAAATAATACCGTGCATACTATCTGATCACAATGCAGTAAAAGTAGAACTCAACAACAAAAGTAAAGACAAAAAACATGCAAACAGCTGGAAACTAAATAACTCATTACTTAATGAAGAGTGGATCATCGATGCAATAAAAGAGGAAATTAAAAAGTTCCTGGAAGTCAATGAAAATGAAAACACAACCTACCGGAACCTATGGGACACAGCTAAGGCAGTCTTGAGAGGAAAGTTTATAGCCATGAGTGCATATATTAAAAAGATTGAAAGATCCCAAATCAATGACCTAATGATACATCTCAAACTCCTAGAAAAACAAGAACAAGCAAATCCCAAAACAAATAGAAGGAGAGAAATAATAAAAATAAGAGCTGAAATCAATGAAATAGAAACCAAAAAAACCATACAAAGAATTAATGAAACAAAAAGTTGGTTCTTTGAAAAAATAAACAAGATCGATAGACCCCTGGCAAACCTGACTAAAATGAGGAGAGAAAAAACCCAAATTAGTAGAATAGGAATGCAAAAGGGGAGATAACAACAAACACCATGGAAGTCCAGGAAATCATCAGAGACTACTTTGAGAACCTATATTCAAATAAATTTGAAATCTAAAAGAAATGGACAGATTTCTAGATACATATGATCATCCAAAACTGAACCAAGAGGAAATTAATCACCTGAATAGACCTATAACACAAAATGAAATTGAAGCAGCAATCAAGAGTCTCCCCAAAAAGAAAGTCAGGACCTGATGGATTCTCTGCTGAATTCTATCAGACCTTTAAAGAAGAACTGATACCAACCCTCCTTAAACTGTTCCATGAAATAGAAAGGGAAGGAAAACTGCCAACACATTTTATGAAGCCAGTATTACACTTATCCAAAACCAGGCAAAGACACCTCCAAAAAGGAGAACTATAGGCCAATCTCCTTAATGAACATTGATGCAAAAATCCTCAACAAAATAATGGCAAACCGAATTCAGCAACACATCAAAAAGATTATTCACCACGACCAAGTAGGCTTCATCCCGGGGATGCAGGGGTGGTTCGACATACGAAAATCAATAAACGTAATAAACCACATTAACAGAAGCAAAGACAAAAACCACTTGATCATCTCAATAGATGCAGAAAAAGCCTTTGATAAGATCCAACATCATTTCATGATAAAAGCTCTAAGAAAACTAGGAATAGAAGGAAAGTTCCTCAACATTATAAAAGCTATATATGACAAACCTACAGCCAGCATTATACTTAAGGAGAAAAATTAAAACCATTCCCTCTAAAATCAGGAACCAGACAAGGATGCCCACTATCTCCACTCCTATTCAACATAGTACTGGAATTCCTAGCCAGAGCAATTAGGCAAGAAGAAGGAATAAAAGGAATACAAATAGGTAAAGAAACTGTCAAAATATCCCTATTTGCAGACGACATGATCCTATACCTTAAAGACCCAAAAAACTCTACTCAGAAGCTTCTAGACATCATCAATAGCTATAGCAAGGTAGCAGGATATAAAATCAACATAGAAAAATCATTAGCATTTCTATACACTAACAATGAGCAAACTGAAAAAGAATATATGAAAACAATTCCATTTACAATAGCCTCAAAAAAAATCAAATACCTAGGTGTAAACCTAACAAAAGAGTGAAAGACCTCTACAAGGAAAACTATACACTTCTGAAGAAAGAGATTGAGGAAGACTATAGAAAGTGGAGAGATCTCCCATGCTCATGGATTGGTAGAATCAACATAGTAAAAATGTCGATACTCCCAAAGTAATCTACATGTTTAATGCAATTCCCATCAAAATTCCAATGACATTCATTAAAGAGATTGAAAAATCTACTGTTAAATTTATATGGAAACACAAGAGGCCACGAATAGCCAAGGCAATACTCAGTCAAAAGAACAATGCAGGAGGTATCACAATACCTGACTTCAAACTATATTACAAAGCAATAACAATAAAAACAGCATGGTACTGGCACAAAAACAGACATGAAGACCAGTGGAACAGAATAGAGGATCCAGATATGAAGCCACACAACTATAAGCAACTTATCTTTGACAAAGGAGCTAAAAATATACGATGGAGAAATAGCAGCCTCTTCAACAAAAACTGCTGGGAAAACTGGTTAGCAGTCTGCAAAAAACTGAAACTAGATCCATGTATATCACCCTATACCAAGATTAACTCAAAATGGATCAAGGATCTTAATATCAGACCCAAACTCTTAAGTTGATACAAGAAAGAGTAGGAAATACTCTGGAGTTAGTAGGTATAGGTAAGAACTTTCTCAATGAAACCCCAGCAGCACAGCAACTAAGAGATAGCATAGATAAATGGGACCTCATAAAACTAAAAAGCTTCTGTTCATCAAAAGAAATGGTCTCTAAACTGAAGAGAACACCCACAGAGTGGGAGAAAATATTTGCCAACTATACATCAGACAAAGGACTGATAACCAGAATATACAGGGAACTTAAAAAACTAAATTCTCCCAAAACTAATGAACCAATAAAGAAATGGGCATGTGAACTAAACAGAACTTTCTCAAAAGAAGAAATTCAAATGGCCAGAAAACACATGAAAAAATGCTCACCATCTCTAGCAATAAAGGAAATGCAAATTAAAACCACACTAAGATTCCACCTCACCCCTGTTAGAATAGC